CTTGCGTGGGGGGGGGGGGGGGAAGACGAGAGAATATCAGAGTGAGATACAGTCCCAGAGAGCCAAGAAGAAGGACGATAACAATGAAAAACAAATACTTCTATATAAACATCAGAAGTGACATCAGAAGATTGCTCAGACCTCATTATTAGGGATGCAGCGATACCTGAGTACCGATACTTTTGAGCTCCAGGACTAGACTAGAGAACAATTCAAAAGTTAGGAGGCGGCTGTCATGTGTAAGGAGCACACGGAGCTCCCGGGATTTGTACATCTCTGTTTTAATATTGTTATATAGTCATTATTCCACCTTTGTCCATAGCTGATATTTGGAGGCGTGTAGTGACATGTGTGAGTGTGACACCAGCTGCATTCTACTCCAGCCTCTGACCTGAGAGAAGGCCTGCTGCGGGATTCAAATGCTACTTATATCTCAGACCTCGTCTCAAAGTATCACCCTAACCGCCCCCTCTGCTCTTCAAAAGACCTCCTGCTTTCCAGTTCCCTCGTCGACTCCTCCCATGCTCGCCTCCGGGACTTCTCTAGAGTCTCTCCCATCCTCTGGAATTCCTTACCTCAACCTATCCGTCTATCTCCCACTCAGACTGCCTTTAGTTGATCCCTAAAGACTCATCTCTTCAGGGAAGCCGATTCTCACCTCAACCTGACCGCTCAACCATTCATCCCCACACAGCTCCCTCCTCATGTATCACTGGCCCCTCCCTTCTAGATTGTAAGCCCTCAGGGGGCAGGGCCCTCCTTACCATCTTGTCTTGAATTGTATTGTGATTGTAATGTCTTCCTTATATTGTACAGCGCTGCGCACACTGCTGGCGCCATATAAATCCTGTATAATAACATCAATTGATGAAGTGTTATCTCCAGGAAGTGACTCTCGTGATCATCACTAGCTCTTTACCTGGAGCGCAATCTTCCGTTTTAATCCGGGGCTTCGTGTCACTGATCACCGTTTCCTCCTTGGCGACGTCTAGGACACAACGAGCAACAAAAACTTCTGTTATTAAGTTTCCCCTTATAATAATAATAATTGCCTCTGTTCCCCCGAGATCTACAATGCTGTGATCAGAGGATGGTTGTTGCATGTATGAGCACGTGTACCATGGGTGAGGGACCCGTCACTTTACAAGTCATAAACATGTAGAAGAGAACACTTTCAAAGACTTAAAGTTGAACTCCGGGATCAGCAGATATCGTCCTCATACAAGTCCTGTGTGTTCTTCTTGAATCTCGGTGAGCTTTGTGTATTTCTTCCAGATCTGTGCAGCACTCCAGTGTGAGACTTGGAGCTTCCTGTAATAGAGACCGGTCACTGCTGCTCTCCCTCCTTCTGCAGGGTGACTGGTCTAGTCTCCGCCCCCTCCTGTAATAAAGGCCGGTCACTGCTGCTCTCCCTCCTTGTGCAGGGTGACTGGTCTTGTCTCCGCCCCCTCCTGTAATAAAGATCGCCCACTGCTGCTCTATGGGGAATATGATCATGAAGATACATTGTAACTCTTTAGTGGATTCTACTTTGTCTCACCTGAGAAATATTCAGATTTGCAGGTTGGGCTGTAATCCCAGTCCGTGGCCCCGTGTTCTCGCCCTCCAGCAGCGTCCTCTGCAATTACAAATCACATAAAACACATTGGGGGGGTCACCCACCAAATTACACTTCACGACTCATCCGAAATGCGGACGTCAGCCCGTAACCTGAAAAAACATCCGCTATAGCAGTGAAAACCGATGGGTACTGATGGGCCAATCGCAGTGTAAAAAAAAAAAAAGAAAGGAGGATTGTTGAAATAAACTGAATACAAAATAACATAAAAAAGATCCATGAACAGGATGCACCGATACTGATACTAGTATCGGTATCGGTGCCGATACCGAGTATTTGGGTGAGTACTCGTACTCGCCCAAATGCTCCGATACCTAGCACGAGTACTTCCTGTATCAGGAAGCCGGCAGCGCATCATTACACGCTGCCCGGTTTCCTGATTGGCCCAGAAACGGCTCCATGCTCTCTCGTCACTTGTGATGAGAGAGCATGGAGCCGACTTCCCGGCCAATCAGGAAGCCTGGTAGCGTGCAATGACGCGCTGCCTGGCTTCCCGATTGGTCAGGAAGCTAGCAAATCCAGAAGCCGGGCGTCGTGCAATGACGCAGCGCCCGGCATTCTGGTTGGCCGGGAAGCCGGCGTCATGCTCCCTCGTCGTCTCATGAATCATTATATTAAGAAAGTGACCTTAAAGCATTAGTTTGTATTGCTTTAGAAAAAATGTGACCTGTCCCTTTAAGAAAAAGTATCGGTAATTGGTATCGGCGAGTACTTGATCAAAAGTATCGGTACTCGTACGCGTTCTTAAAAAAGTGGTATCGGTGCATCCCTGAACACCAAACCCAATAAAATGACAAAACCACCGCGAATGATCTCTGACTTCATGTGGAAGAAAACTCATAGACAACGCAGTCAGCGCAAGGAGAGACACAAACGTACCCCGTCCCCGTCCCAGGACAAAGACCATGAGCACCCAGGAGGGCAAATACATATATTGGGGGGAATTTATCGAATCTGGAGCAGCTGTGCACGGCGACCAATCAGCTTCTCTCTTTCACTGAACTGAACAAACTGAAGAGAGGCGCTGTTTGATTGCTTTGGGCAAATGCTCCATATTTTGTCTGCTCCAGTGTTGATAAATCCCCCCCTGTATGTCTATCTGTGTTACAATGTAGCGCAGATCTGTTGTTGGTCTGACCGGGAGCAAATCTGTACATAAAACTGATAGACCCTTCCCGGATAAAGAAGCTGCCTGCCTAGGTGAGCGGGAGGTAGGGAGCAGCCAGCAGGTTCCCTGCAATGGTTCCTCCCACCTGATCACGGGGCTGAGCAATTGTGAGACATGAGGCTCACCTGCAATGCCCGGCATGGTTGGCAGGATCATCTTTTTCCGTTTCCTACCCACTGGTGCCGCTCCTGGACTGTGACCTGAAAGAAAGGACGTGCAGGGTTACATTCATAATATATGGACGGAACCTTTCACGTTAGATCATTAAAGGAGAAGTACGAGGTCAGGGCTTTTCCCCATAGTTCTCCTCAGGGTAACGGGAGGACACAAACTAGCGTCCTCCCGTCACCCTAAGCTCAGTATATAGGGAGCTACAGCTCGCGGTATACTGAGACGCCGCAGTATAGCGGATCCTGACAATTATGTCTGGATCCGCCCAGCTGCGTGACTGACAGCTGGCTCCGCCTATCTAGAGGCAGAGCCAGCTGTACCCGCCCCCTCCCCCGTCCGTTCCGCCAGTCAGCGCTGGCGGATCGGAGCGGGGAGGGGGGAATCCAGCCCCTCCCCTGTCATGGCAGAGAGCCGTGACAGGATCGAGAGGTGAGCGAACGCCGCTATGTGTTCGCTCACCTCCCGATCTACTGAGCCGACCTGTGACAGTCTCATTGTCACAGGTCGGCTAGAACTATGAGGTGAGTGAAAAGCACCCCCCTCCCCCCCCCTCGTAGTTCTCCTTTAATACTTCTGGTTAGAGGTATATGCATAGCCCACAGCGGAGGAAGGAGAGTGCTGTATGTTTGTAAACACAGCAGGAACGAGGATTGCAGCAGGTGGAAGGTGAAGGTGGGAGGGGCCTTAAAGTACCACTGACCACCAATGATGGCGGGATCGTGTATTTTAAAGGTAAAGAAATGAAAGGGAACTGTAAGCAAATCCACATTTTTGTTATTTTTTTTTAAACTTTTCATAGTAACAAATAAAAATCCCCCAGCGGTTATTAATTACAACCAAAACAAGGATCTATCTGTTCGACACAAATTATATATAATTAATTTGGTTACAATGTTGCATGAAGGAGTCATTGTCATACTATCACAGCGCGGAAATGTGGAGAATGGCCGGGTAATCAAGGGGTCTACACAGGCTGGTACACAAGGGGTTAGGAGGGTCTACACAGCCTGGTACACAAGGGGGTAGGAGGGTCTACACAGCCTGGTACACAAGGGGGTAGGAGGGTCTACACAGCCTGGTACACAAGGGGGTAGGAGGGTCTACACAGCCTGGTACACAAGGGGGTAGGAGGGTCTACACAGCCTGGTACACAAGGGGGTAGGAGGGTCTACACAGCCTGGTACACAAGGGGGTAGGAGGGTCTACACAGCCTGGTACACAAGGGGGTAGGAGGGTCTACACAGCCTGGTACACAAGGGGGTAGGAGGGTCTACACAGCCTGGTACACAAGGGGGTAGGAGGGTCTACACAGCCTGGTACACAAGGGGGTAGGAGGGTCTACACAGCCTGGTACACAAGGGGGTAGGAGGGTCTACACAGCCTGGTACACAAGGGGGTAGGAGGGTCTACACAGCCTGGTACACAAGGGGGTAGGAGGGTCTACACAGCCTGGTACACAAGGGGGTAGGAGGGTCTACACAGCCTGGTACACAAGGGGGTAGGAGGGTCTACACAGCCTGGTACACAAGGGGGTAGGAGGGTCTACACAGCCTGGTACACAAGGGGGTAGGAGGGTCTACACAGCCTGGTACACAAGGGGGTAGGAGGGTCTACACAGCCTGGTACACAAGGGGGTAGGAGGGTCTACACAGCCTGGTACACAAGGGGGTAGGAGGGTCTACACAGCCTGGTACACAAGGGGGTAGGAGGGTCTACACAGCCTGGTACACAAGGGGGTAGGAGGGTCTACACAGCCTGGTACACAAGGGGGTAGGAGGGTCTACACAGCCTGGTACACAAGGGGGTAGGAGGGTCTACACAGCCTGGTACACAAGGGGGTAGGAGGGTCTACACAGCCTGGTACACAAGGGGGTAGGAGGGTCTACACAGCCTGGTACACAAGGGGGTAGGAGGGTCTACACAGCCTGGTACACAAGGGGGTAGGAGGGTCTACACAGCCTGGTACACAAGGGGGTAGGAGGGTCTACACAGCCTGGTACACAAGGGGGTAGGAGGGTCTACACAGCCTGGTACACAAGGGGGTAGGAGGGTCTACACAGCCTGGTACACAAGGGGGTAGGAGGGTCTACACAGCCTGGTACACAAGGGGGTAGGAGGGTCTACACAGCCTGGTACACAAGGGGGTAGGAGGGTCTACACAGCCTGGTACACAAGGGGGTAGGAGGGTCTACACAGCCTGGTACACAAGGGGGTAGGAGGGTCTACACAGCCTGGTACACAAGGGGGTAGGAGGGTCTACACAGCCTGGTACACAAGGGGGTAGGAGGGTCTACACAGCCTGGTACACAAGGGGGTAGGAGGGTCTACACAGCCTGGTACACAAGGGGGTAGGAGGGTCTACACAGCCTGGTACACAAGGGGGTAGGAGGGTCTACACAGCCTGGTACACAAGGGGGTAGGAGGGTCTACACAGCCTGGTACACAAGGGGTTAGGAGGGTCTATACAGGCTGGTACACAAGGGGTTAATCTGATTTGTACACTTTGGTTACAATCAGGTTGGTTTTGGTTAATACAATAAAAAACATTTATAGCAAATGATACTTTATAATAGAATAATTATCCTTCAATAAGATCTCGGCGATTACAGAGGTCGTCCAGCTTTCGGCCAATCACAGCTCACGTCTCTAATGAAGAGTGTGAGCTCTGCAGACTAAACCCCGAACATATAGTCCAATAGACGTCTTCCGGGGGCGGGACTTACAGAGGATTCATCTATTGCGGAGTTCTGTACCTTGTGTGTTCACTTCCAGAAGCTTAAAGAAATGATCGTCTGTTATCTCCGCTCCTTCCTCGAAATCATCTGCAACGTGAAGAAGGCGTCAGAACCAATCGCACTCCACACACACAACACACACACACCATACACACACCATACACACACCGAACACACACGTCACACACACACCCCACCTAACACACACACACACCATACACACACCGAACACACACGTCACACACACACCCCACCTAACACACACACACACCATACACACACCGAACACACACGTCACACACACACCCCACCTAACACACACACACACCATACACACACCGAACACACACGTCACACACACACCCCACCTAACACACACACACACCATACACACACCGAACACACACGTCACACACACACCCCACCTAACACACACACACACCATACACACACCGAACACACACGTCACACACACACCCCACCTAACACACACACACACCATACACACACCGAACACACACGTCACACACACACCCCACCTAACACACACACACACCATACACACACCGAACACACACGTCACACACACACCCCACCTAACACACACACACACCATACACACACCGAACACACACGTCACACACACACCCCACCTAACACACACACACACCATACACACACCGAACACACACGTCACACACACACCCCACCTAACACACACACACACCATACACACACCGAACACACACGTCACACACACACCCCACCTAACACACACACACACCATACACACACCGAACACACACGTCACACACACACCCCACCTAACACACACACACACCATACACACACCGAACACACACGTCACACACACACCCCACCTAACACACACACACACCATACACACACCGAACACACACGTCACACACACACCCCACCTAACACACACACACACCATACACACACCGAACACACACGTCACACACACACCCCACCTAACACACACACACACCATACACACACCGAACACACACGTCACACACACACCCCACCTAACACACACACACACCATACACACACCGAACACACACGTCACACACACACCCCACCTAACACACACACACACCATACACACACCGAACACACACGTCACACACACACCCCACCTAACACACACACACACCATACACACACCGAACACACACGTCACACACACACCCCACCTAACACACACACACACCATACACACACCGAACACACACGTCACACACACACCCCACCTAACACACACACACACCATACACACACCGAACACACACGTCACACACACACCCCACCTAACACACACACACACCATACACACACCGAACACACACGTCACACACACACCCCACCTAACACACACACACACCATACACACACCGAACACACACGTCACACACACACCCCACCTAACACACACACACACCATACACACACCGAACACACACGTCACACACACACCCCACCTAACACACACACACACCATACACACACCGAACACACACGTCACACACACACCCCACCTAACACACACACACACCATACACACACCGAACACACACGTCACACACACACCCCACCTAACACACACACACACCATACACACACCGAACACACACGTCACACACACACCCCACCTAACACACACACACACCATACACACACCGAACACACACGTCACACACACACCCCACCTAACACACACACACACCATACACACACCGAACACACACGTCACACACACACCCCACCTAACACACACACACACCATACACACACCGAACACACACGTCACACACACACCCCACCTAACACACACACACACCATACACACACCGAACACACACGTCACACACACACCCCACCTAACACACACACACACCATACACACACCGAACACACACGTCACACACACACCCCACCTAACACACACACACACCATACACACACCGAACACACACGTCACACACACACCCCACCTAACACACACACACACCATACACACACCGAACACACACGTCACACACACACCCCACCTAACACACACACACACCATACACACACCGAACACACACGTCACACACACACCCCACCTAACACACACACACACCATACACACACCGAACACACACGTCACACACACACCCCACCTAACACACACACACACCATACACACACCGAACACACACGTCACACACACACCCCACCTAACACACACACACACCATACACACACCGAACACACACGTCACACACACACCCCACCTAACACACACACACACCATACACACACCGAACACACACGTCACACACACACCCCACCTAACACACACACACACCATACACACACCGAACACACACACACACACACCGAACACACACACACACACACCAACCACAATACAAAACACACACACGTCACACAATACACAACACAACACCGAACACACACGTCACGTCACACAACACACACCAACCACAATACAACACCGAACACACACGTCACACACCAACCACAATACAACACCGAACACACACATGTCACACAACACCGAACACACACGTCACACAACACACACACAACACCGAACACACACACGTCACACAACACACACACGTCACACAACACACACACACAACACACCAACCACAATACAAAACACAACACTGAACACACCACACACACAACACACACACACACCACCGAACACACGCGTCACACAACACACACATCAGAACTAATAAAGTAATATTTTAATGTAAATATTACTTTCTCATGTAAATATGAAATGTGTATTAATATTTTGCAGATCTCCCTTTTTAGGCCCCATTCACACTGAGCGATTCGCAAATTGCGCGTTTGTCGGGCGATATCGCGCAAATGCTTGCATTGAGCAAGCTTGAATCGCGGCAAAATCCGCTCCAAAAAGGGTCCTGCTGTAGCGACGCACGACCCGCGACAGCGACGGACAGAGCCCCATTGCCATGCATTGGAGAGCGATATCGCGCGGTAAATAGCCGCGATATCGCGGGAATTACTGCGCGATAAATCGCTCAGTGTGAACGGGGCCTAAAGTGTTTCCTGAAATCAGATGACTTCTCTCTCATCAGACGTCTCAGTCTGAGGTTTCAATGAGAGAGATGGAGCTGCAAAGGAAGCTGCTATGCCGTCATTTAGCTCACCCATAGCGCTCTGGGAACACTTTGTCGGCTAATAAATGTTTATAGATACATAGTATAAAAAAAAGAAACTTAGAAACTTATTTTAGTCAGTTAAAAGATGACCCCCCAAACCATGATTGTTTCTGTTTAAAGTGTATGTATGGTGATGGAGTGTGGAGGGGATCGACCTGCTGTCAGGTTTTTATTGCCATCTGTGTTTCACCCTCTATATCTGTCCTGGTCACAATCATCACCGGGAAAGGAAGTGATGAGAAATCCAAAATGATATAGTTCTCACCAAAACAGGAAGAGGGGGGGAATCTTCCAATGGGGGCATCTATTATGGTGACAACTGTCCAGAAGGGGAATCTCCGTCACTTTGTCTACTTTGTAGAGACTTCCTCTCACTACCTGCTGCCTTTTCATAACAGGAAGTGAAGGAGAATCTGCCCAATGGACACAGACAGCAACAAATAAACTGACAGGAGCTTTAACCAATCCCAACTCCATCCAACACAAAAAAAGAAGCTGTATATACACTATGAGAGGATGTAGACCAGCCGAGGAAGCCAACTATCCGGGATTAAAAGCCACGTGTCTTCGGGAGCTCTGGAATCCTGTTTACACCCAGTGGCGTAACAATCGCCATAGCAACCCAGGCGGTCGCTATGGGGCCCGGGCACAGGGGGGCCCGGCCAGGGCATCCCTCTGATGCCGTGTGCGGCCGCCTGAGTCGCTATAATACGGGGCCCCATACGAAATTTTGCTATGGGGCCCTGTGATTTCTAGTTACGTCCCCGGTTACCCCCCACCTCCATTGAAGTGTGTATAGAGTGATTGTACATTCTACCCCTACTGGACCCAATCAGCACCTGGAGGGTAACAGTTTTCATACATAACAATCGTTTCAGTGTCACCTATGAAGTCCTCCACTTGGTCCTCCTTAGATTCATTGGGGTCACTGAGGATTTCCTTCTTGTAAAGCTCTTCGTTCTCCTCTATGTAATTCCATTCGTCTCTGGTGAAGAACACGGCCACATCCTGATAGCGAACCGGAATCTGAAACACACGGAACAGCCATCGGCTCGGGCTTAATCATAGTCTGCCGCCTTGGCCCGACCAACAGAGGAGACACAATGGCCTCTGACTGCAATACATGGGGTGCAGGGCTGTAGCTACCATGGGGCGAGTGAGGCCCAGGCGCAGCTGAGAGAGAGCGCTGCGCCCCCTCGCACCTGTTGCCATGGACGAGCACAGGGCACCATTGGCAACAGGGGCGCCAGGCGGCCAACACAGCCACGGCTCAGCAGGGAGAAGAGGAGCGGCACAGGCTCCAGCTTCTCCTCTGATCCCCGCTGCTCTCCCCCACCACAATTGCGCACGCGCTCCGCCATCCTGGAGGCGGGGAGCATGACATCGCTTACCGCACAAGTCTGTTGGGGGGGCACAATTTTCTGCTCTTGCCTCGGGCGTAAAAGGAGCTCGCTACGGCTCTGATGGAGAGACACTGACACAAACTATGTAGCAGAACAAACATCTCACTTTCTTCTTCATACAAAAGAGGTGACAAGGCGTCCACCAGTGCAGCACATACGTGGTTTCATTGAGTAATACCTGCCACGTGGTGCCTGTAAGGCCTGGTTCACACCTAGGCGTATTGCATATGCGCGTCTGATCCTCCCTCCCTCCCCTAGACAAGTGGGACAATCAATTTTACAAATGAATGTTGGATACCTTCAGGTCTTTCTGATTGTTGATCGCGTGACAAACGCGCGTTTCCGAGGGCTACTTGGCTGTATCCCAATGGAAACGCGCAACACAAACGGCCCAAAGTAGTACCTGTAACTTTTCAGGCGTGGGCCGTTTTGCAGCGCGTTAGGGACGGGCGGAAATAAGCCGAGGTGTGAACCAGACCCATTGAATACAATGGGATTTAGATGTTTGAGCGTTTTGCAGAGCGTTCGTCGAGCGTAGAACGCGCTACAAAACGTTCAGGTGTGAACGAGGGCTAAAGAGCCATAAGGGCTGTTTAATTGAGTTCACCTTCCGCTTCAAACAGAGGAAACAGCCATGGGCGTCCTGCAGGAAGACAACCGTCACGTTCTCTACCCATTTCCCCCGGATTTTCCTGTGTTGTGGTAAAATAAAGCTGACGTGTCGCGTAGGACAAAGCCCAAATCCCATTCGCACTGCCACGGTCTCAAAACCACAAGGTATAGGTGGTGCCCAGGTGACCACACGGATGGCGCCGTGCAAAACACTAATAGTAAATGAAAGTAATTCACCGGCACACACTTGAAGGGTTTTTAAAGTATTGATATGTTTATTCAATACCCAATGTCACATGCTGTCATACAGTGCTAGGGTTAGGGTATGTGACATTGGGTATTGAATAAACATATCAATACTTTAAAAACCCTTCAAGTGTGTGCCGGTGAATTACTTTTATTTACTATTAGTGTCCTGTAGGAGGACACGCCTGTTTAACCATCATGGCTGCCACCGCTGTTATCAGAAGCATGGAGGAGCTGCTCTGGTAGGGCCACTTAACACTACACGTATCCACCCAGCCGACTCCCTCACCTCTCCTTCCTTCTGATAAAACTTGCTGAGATCTTCATTCTTCTTCACCAGCTTCAAATCCTGAAAGATATAAAGAATGTGGAATTGGCCCGAGTGTCACTACATAGAACAAAGGAACAGACTTGGGTACATCCAATTTACAGAGTGCGGAAAAACCTCCCACACACGCTATCCTATACACTACTAATGGGGAAGACCCTCTTCTGTCCCCCACCATGACTCTCCCCCTGTGCACAAAGCCAGCTCCATACAGACACGGTGTGACCAGCTTGGTGGAGGAACTCGAGTGTCCTGACCTCAACCTACTGATCACCTTTTGGGATGCATTGGAACCCCAACTGCGAGTCCGGTCTTTTCATCCAACATCAGCACCTGACCTCACAAATGGGACACATTGCTGTATACACTCTCCCAATGATGGAGTTCTGGTGTCTCCAGTGAAGGTTCTGTTCCTCCTACACCATACAAAGACTTTGTAGACCATTGGGCTCTTCCAGCCTTGTGGTCACAGTTTGGTGAAGACCCTTTTCTGTCCCCCCCATGACTGTCCCCCGTGTACAAAGCCAGTACACGGTATACTGAGACGCCGCAGCTGAAGCGGTATGTGTTCGCTCACCTCCCGATCTACTGAGCCGACCCGTGACAGTCTCATTGTCACACGTCGGCTCGGACTATGCGGTTGAGTGATTTTCACTCGCCTCATAGTTCTCCTTTAACCTCCCAGCAGCTATACCCCCTAGCAGAGGAAGCATTCTGGTTTGAAGTGTGGCCCCAGATAATGTTATACCCATCTGATATATATTAAGACAAATGTGTAAATTTTAACAAAAATTTACATAAAAGACTCTTCGCCATTATCGCTTAAGAACTTGACAACAGCAACTCAGCTAAAAAGTGTGACCGGCCAAAGCTGCGTCGGGAATACAGATAGAAGAACCTATATTCCATTTCACCCATTTTGGATGGAGACGCTCCGTAGGAGAAGGTTCAGATAAAGGAAGTGATGTCATGGAGGTTCATATAAAGGAAGTGATGTCATGGAGGTTCATATAAAGGAAGTGATGTCATGGAGGTTCATATAAAGGAAGTGATGTCATGGAGGTTCATATAAAGGAAGTGATGTCATGGAGGTTCATATAAAGGAAGTGATGTCATGGAGGTTCATATAAAGGAAGTGATGTCATGGAGGTTCATATAAAGGAAGTGATGTCATGGAGGTTCATATAAAGGAAGTGATGTCATGGAGGTTCATATAAAGGAAGTGATGTCATGGAGGTTCATATAAAGGAAGTGATGTCATGGAGGTTCATATAAAGGAAGTGATGTCATGGAGGTTCATATAAAGGAAGTGATGTCATGGAGGTTCATATAAAGGAAGTGATGTCATGGAGGTTCATATAAAGGAAGTGATGTCATGGAGGTTCATATAAAGGAAGTGATGTCATGGAGGTTCATATAAAGGAAGTGATGTCATGGAGGTTCATATAAAGGAAGTGATGTCATGGAGGTTCATATAAAGGAAGTGATGTCATGGAGGTTCATATAAAGGAAGTGATGTCATGGAGGTTCATATAAAGGAAGTGATGTCATGGAGGTTCATATAAAGGAAGTGATGTCATGGAGGTTCATATAAAGGAAGTGATGTCATGGAGGTTCATATAAAGGAAGTGATGTCATGGAGGTTCATATAAAGGAAGTGATGTCATGGAGGTTCATATAAAGGAAGTGATGTCATGGAGGTTCATATAAAGGAAGTGATGTCATGGAGGTTCATATAAAGGAAGTGATGTCATGGAGGTTCATATAAAGGAAGTGATGTCATGGAGGTTCATATAAAGGAAGTGATGTCATGGAGGTTCATATAAAGGAAGTGATGTCATGGAGGTTCATATAAAGGAAGTGATGTCATGGAGGTTCATATAAAGGAAGTGATGTCATGGAGGTTCATATAAAGGAAGTGATGTCATGGAGGTTCATATAAAGGAAGTGATGTCATGGAGGTTCATATAAAGGAAGTGATGTCATGGAGGTTCATATAAAGGAAGTGATGTCATGGAGGTTCATATAAAGGAAGTGATGTCATGGAGGTTCATATAAAGGAAGTGATGTCATGGAGGTTCATATAAAGGAAGTGATGTCATTCCACCAGGTGCAGGACTAATATAACCCGTCATTCCACCATAAATAGAAATATGAGTGAAAAGGCCTTACTGTACATGTCCGCCGGTCCCAGTCCTCACCTCTCCAGCCACAAGACACACGATCTCCACAATCTGACTCAGCAGTTTCCTGGTCCGCTGCCTCTTGTAACTGCCCATGTGTGGTGCTTCAGTCATGTGTCTCAGGAGCGCCACCTGTAACGGCACAGCGTGATAATCATACGAATGTAAACTCTAACAATAAACTTCCCTTCTGGTCTTTTAAACATTCCATTAAAAGCATTTTTATCTCCGTTTGATCCTGCCAGAAATCCAGCGAGCTAGTAACGTCTGCATAACTGAATTCACAAGCAGTGCTATCAGCCCTGCACGGCTCAACCCTGCTGGACTACAGACACCCCTCCCCCCCCCCCCC